TATATATAGTAATATATTCACATTCATTAAGGTCAAGAATACAATTCATTAAAATGCAAAAAAATAAATATCCAATTTCAAAACATTCATTACAAACTACAGTCATTAATATTAAAAATATATATTTTTCTAATTAAACATAATTACACATTAAAAGTAAAATTGTATGCTTAAAATCATCATCTTTAAAAATGATTGAGACATCATCATAAATCTGATAACAACTCATAACCCTTGGATAGTATAGTAGTCAACCATAAAATCCATAAATATCCCACCCAAAAATTGTACGCTTATATCATTGTACTCTCATCTATTACAGAATGCCATTGAGTTTAATGTAGCATGCTTGAATTAAATGATCTTTAATTGGGACCACCATGAAAAACATTTCAGCGAATGATTGTGTAATCCTTTTAAAAGATGTTAATAAATAAAAATAATTTATTACATCTATCCATTTACCCCTCTTAGTGTATTAATTTATTTAATTATTCTACCTTTTCAGTGTACTAATTTATTTAATTATTCTACCTTTTCAAAACCATTCACAAAAAAATGATCGCCTTTTGTCCATGCATCTCTGCCTCCCTTCATTGCCATGGTTACAATAAAACTACTTTGTTATTATTATACATATCATAGTTGCCAATCTGTCATAGTATCATGCATTATTATCACCACAGTATCAATACTGTACATGCAAAGTACCATCAGAATAAAAAATAGCCTGAGACAAAGACGCTGTAATGTACAGCGTTCTGAGAACACACCTACAGGAATATTAAGCGAGTCCACTGGCTGGGCTCATTCATGCAGATGGTTTTTATGATTTTTTGCTATTGATTGTGAGTGTATGGATCATCACGCAACGGTTGTGTTCTACCTGTAGTTTTTGGATGATGATATATTATAGCCTTTGTTGTGGATATCTAGCAAAGGATGGAGGGCAAATCTCAATATTGGGTGTGTACATGAATTTTAATCCATTACTGGATAATAATTTGTTGATTTTTTTTTTTCTTGCTAGATTTTCTTCTCAGTATTTGTCTCTTAAAGTATGTCATTATAATTGAGATGAAAATTATGTTTAAAATTACTTAAGAATGTTTGTTTACATTTTTTTTTATTATTCTTTAAGTTAATATAGGTTTTTAGAATACAATTTTTCTAATATTTATTATATTATTATTACAACACATTGCTAAATGTAGAATTGAGCCGGGATGGAAGTTTATTTTTAAATTACGTAATACTAGACAACGATCCACTGGCTTTCAACGTTAGTTTTCCATCGCTAAATCAAATTCTACTTTTTTATCAATTTTTTTAATATTAATAAATAATATCACTTTTGCTTGGTGATGAAATTATTGCACCTTTAAATACAGCCTTTCTAATGAGATCTTTAATGCTTGAGGCATGCGATTCAGTGAGGCTTTGCTGGTCGGTAAGACTTTGATCTATCACCAACTTATTTGCGTCTTTTAAAGCGTCGATGTAACATTTAAAGCCATTTCTCTAGAATTAAACGCGCCGATAGACGCATCGACAATAAAATAGTTCAAAGCCAAATTGAGAAATGAAAATTATATCATCTCTCAGTATCTGCATTTTTTCGAATCATTTCTTTATAAAAAATTCTTTCAAACTACTGTAACCATCAGTCTTATATACATTCAATCATGTGTTTTGGAAGAATATGATGATTTTTATTTTTGCAAGTATTGTGGAATGTGCTGAGCATTCAGTACGATAACACGTCAGGTAGAGCAAAAATATTAATCTTATTACCTTTTCTGATACAAACATCATCAGAAATTATTATGATGCTAAAAAGGAGAGGACATAATTTTGGGTAACCTCACACCAGAGCTACAGAATTTCATCTTTGAGGTTGGAGGTTTGCACAATTTGGCTTGTGTGCACTTTAATAAACCCAGTACATCTTTTGAGATGACTAAGGGGCTACCCCAGTGTACAGGTTCATACAGCCCCTGTTGTGAACAGACGAGAGAAACTGGTACTGTACCAGTTTGCTGGGTAGCTCTGCAGACACAAAGATATTGTACTAGCTAGTCACACCTTAGGTGCTTGAGTCTTCAGTATAAAGCTCTCTATAAATCAAACTACATTACCGTACATTACATTCTAACCTTCACTGTGAATTTTGTTTTTGCTTTTTTTGCAAGTTGCTCTATACTATGATTGTCTTTTTTACCCAGGATTAAGTGGGTACCTGGTAGGCTCGAACACCATGCTCTGATTACTGCTGCAGTATCATGGTTACATGTTCCATAAATGTTCGTAACAATGACCTGGGTAATAATATGATAAGCACATAGATGCCCTGACAATATGGACATCATAAATCTACCACTATTATCATTATAACAGACAAAATTATAGGAAAAGGGAACAATTTTAGAAGAATAATATAGTTTATATAATATTCACTTAGTGAATGTGGTCAGCTTAACAGATTTGAACCTAATATTTACCATCAGAAAGATACATGAAATACTATCGATGACAGCCAGTGAGAGACGTACCCATCATTTTCGAATTGAGGACATCATACCGCATTCCCTCAAGACTCTCTTTCACTTTTGACCTATCTATATTTTTCTTCTTTCAGGAGATTGAGGTGCTAAGAGATTCAGCGACAGATTTACCCGGACATGAAAATGATTCATTAACATCAAAAAGAGGGTGAGTATTTATATGTATTGCATTTGTGTTTTATTTGTTTTAGTCATGATTAAAAAGCATAGCTGTGTTAGTCTAAGTTACAACAAAACGAATAATGAGAGAACTCCGCCATAAATCATAAATGATAATTTAACTGTTAATGCTTTGCGTAAAACAAATATTCAGTGACCGTTTCAATCTTGAATGTCAATCACATATTTAGTAATAGTCTGTCACATGCGTTTTGGTGATTGATCATCTCCTGTGAATAATGGGGAAATATGTTCACTAAAGACAATCAAGAGAAGGCCCTAGTATACTCCTAGTACAGCCATTTTGACCTGGATATAACTCAAATTCTGATCAATTGTTGGACTTTGGCCTAGACTACTCTGTAGGCTTATATTTTTGCAGTAAAAAAGTTAATATATTTCAGAAAAAAATTAATTTTCTTTTTGCCTTAAGCATTCATTAGTCCAATTACTGTACTGTTTATACATTACTACTACATCAGACTACGACAATGCGATTGGATCTCAATCAAGAGCCTGAGGGCGCTCTTTTTAACCAAAACACCTGCATTTTTTTTATTCATTAATAATATTTTCCCTTCTGTCTAGATCCTTTTGATAGAATCATTTGCAAGCTAAGAAAATACCTTTTTCCATTGCCTTGTGCTTTTATTTAAGAATTAATGTTTCTAAACAAGATTAACACATTACAGTACATTAGAATTTGGTAGTAATTAACACAAAAAAAATATTAATTCTATGCAAATTTTTAAAATATTTGTAATATTGTTCTCTTATATTCTGTATTATTCTTCTATGTTTAATCTTACCTCTTTGCTATATGTTTACCGTGCATAGTGCCTTGCCTGGCCTTGTCCTCGTTTAATTTGTCTCCTTTGTTGTTTACTGTATACCTTTTGTGCAATAAAATGATTTTGAATGATGTAATTTAAAGAAGATTTAAGTTAGCAAGTGAAATATGATAAAAGATTAGGTTATTTTTTGAGATACATGCTGAATGCACTGCAGTTAAACCGGGCTAAAAGAATGGCTGATTTTGAAGAGCAATTAAATTATACTATAAACTAAAAAGTCATCCTCATTAAATTCTGTTGATGATTTCACCTATTTGGGGCCTACAGAAAGTTCTAGGATACTATACTTAACTCTAAACTAGTATCGGTTCTTCATACATTTTCTTGTGTACAAGCACTTGAAAATTATATGGCTACAAGAATGGCTGGTTTTGAAGGGCAATTAAATTTAACTATAAATTTAAAAAATCACTGTCATAATTCTGTTGATGAATTCACCTACTTGGGCCTACACAAAGTTCTAAGATACTACACTTAAGACTAACCAGCATCAGTTCTTCACACTTATACTTGTGTACAAGCATTTAAGAATTATATGACGATGACAATGAAGTCATCGATGTTGGAAAGGAAGTCCTTAATCAACAGTTCTTCACAAATTATCATTTGTCATAATTTCTGTGAAAAACATATCGGGACCACAAAATGGAATGAGAAAGTATCTTTGCTTGTGCAACACGTAAAAACACGATTCTCATTGCTTACTGTCTAATCTTCGATTTCCCTGACATCAACCTTGGCCCAATTGGATTCAAGAAGACAATACAAACTACATACAATGAAGGTACATTATATTACAAAACCATTCATAAAATGGTGATAAAACGTTATCACCATCAGAATGTTTACAGATTATTAGCTTGTAAATGTTGAATATTATGAAGATATACACCTTGTGGTAAGAATTTTGAATTTCTTTATAAAAAAAAAAAAGAAGTCCAATTTTCAATCACTTATTTTATGATTTACACTTTAAAGATGTTTTGCCCAATTAAAATTACCCAAAAAATATCAAAAATTATTTTTGGAATTAACTTGCTCATTTGGAAGCAACATAAAAAGGATCAATTTGGAACATAGAAATTAGTGTATTTAAAATGTCTTCCCACAATTTCACAGTGAAAATGATATACTTCCACTACTGGAAGTCTTTTTATTTTTATCATCATCCAGTAAAAAATCAGCTTACCGGTACACTTTGTTAAAATCAATCATTTCTATGCTTAAGTTAATGATATGTATGTTACTGCAAAATGAGCTAGCTAATTTCAAATTTATTTTTTATAATTTTTGTCATTTTCAGGGGACATATCTTTAATATTTAAAATTTTCAGCTGTGGTTGTGACTTCATTAAAAAAAAAAAACAAAAAAAAACATAACAACCTTTTTAAGGTTGTGATAAGACAGTGTGCTGTATAGATTTTATGATCATTGTTGCAATATCAAAGAGATTGCATTGTTATGGGTGGAGTGCAATTATAAACCAGATATGCTTTGTCTCGCTCATGTTTACTTGGATATTAAATGGCCGACTGCTGTTCATTTGTTGACTTTTATGTCCTTCATCTCGAATGTTGACCTTTCTACAAGGCATTATTAATATTTATATTGATTTTTTTTATTGTTGTAGTGAAGGTAATATGAAAAAGTGTACAAGAGAAGCAATTCTATTGGTTCCTCAAATTGTTCATATACAAAAACAATAATAATAATGGCATTGTCAATTTTGTAAAGTTTAAACAATAATTGTAATAATAATTAAGGTGATGATGATGTTGATAAAGATGATATTTTTTTTAATTATTCAAATATGTTGTATTTAAATGATGATAAAATCTACTATCATTAAAGTATCATATTATAATTGTGTATCTTTAATTCATCAGTAAATCAATTTGAATCACTTTTATAATATATATACCTTGCAATATGCTAGTATGGAATATTATTGTTTATTAAAATATATATACTAACAATTAAAGAATTACCTATTTGTTATAATTATGTTCTAAAATATTTAGATTAATTGAAAAAATTAGAGATTGTTAGCTCAAACAAATTGTTTAAACTCAAACTAACAGTAATAATTATTAGTAAAGAATTATTAGTAATAAGAATTCGAGAAACAATATCCTTAATGTAAAGTGATGATTTTTTTTGTAAATACTGTAGGCTATGTATGTATCTCAAGCAGAAAGTTTCTTATCAAGGCAATCCGTAATTACCAATTTCATATACCGTTTTAATTCGAGAAAACGCCCAAAGCGTTTAATGTTAAGAAGGGTATTGAGGGGGAATTTATTCATGTGCTGTTATGCACGTGCTTATTTACTTCTTAAAATGGATATGTATACTCAAATACCCCATAATGTGGAACAACATCACATAATTACTGTCAAAATGTGTTATTGTGTGATCGTAACAACTTTATTGATCCCAAAAATGTAATTCTACTGCAGTAGATAATTAATAGATAATTAATGTCACTGGAAAACACTACTGCAATCAATTTATGTAAATACAAACATTTTAAGTAATATATTATTACTGCTTCTTTTGTACCCTTAAGTATTGTAATGAATTTGTTCTTCAGATTTCACTACAGACAAATTTTAGAAAAAATTGACTAACAAGAGGTATCGATTACAAGTTAGCAATTAATCTTAAAGTTAAATTTTATAGGTCATGATGGATCATACCATTTCATGATGGGATACGCCACTAACTTAATGCTGTACAGTAGGCTTATTACATCATTAAGTTCTGCAATGACCTTTACCATCACTAAAAATTATTCCTGAATGGTGATTAAAATGTAACCTAAGTCTAACAGTATGTTAAGTAAATTAATCATAAAAAATGCACAGTTTAATTTCCAATAATTGTCTTTTATGCATATTCATCTAAATCTTGCCCTAAAAGAAATAAATTTAAATTAATAAATACAGCATTGTACTATTTTGTTTGTAATAGACATTTTTGCATGATATAATATTAAATGATCAAACATTGAAATTTAAATAATTAAAAAGTACAATATATAAATTAAATACAAGAACATTTTTAATAAACATTTTACATGCATAATATTAAATGATAAAACATAAAATTCACAAACGAAAGTTGCAATATGATTTCATTATTGAATCCAATACTCAGGTTGCCTTCATGAAACAGTGTAGTATATTTCTTTACTCTTTCAAATGTTGGGTGTTATATTTATTTTATATGCATTATTTTATTTTAAAATTCAAAACATCAACATGCACTGCCAAAATTTTCTATTTTTATAATTTTTTGTTTAGACATTTTAAAGATTATCTTTTTTATGTTTAAACAGATAGCTGCAACATGTAACGTTGAATTAAAAGGTGTTTGTTGAAATACCAAGTTTATAAATATACACTATTGCCTTTCGTTATTTCATAGTATTTATGTGTTTATTATATCATTATTACCATTTTCTGAACTATACTCAATATTGTCATAAAATATGTAGACAAAGTCCATGGCCTAATTCTGTTTTAGTGTCAAACAATCCTCTTTGTTCTATGCTGAATTTAATTAACAATCAAACACAGGACTGACACGTCTCCCTCATCTCATATAAAAATAGAGCGATTTTATGTCTAGGTGTCGTCAAAGGCAATAGCTGATGCCCAGGGGAAAAATTACTTTATTACCCTGTAGTTCATCATGTACAGATGCAGAGTGTATGCCATTTAGTAGTAATAAACTAATGAGTATTTTTGAAATATTTAGTTTCAGAAGGGTGAAAGACGATATTAAATCGTCCTTTATTTGTGTATTGTGTTTTGTTTTTGTGATATGTTCCTTATGCTTACTTTATCGTAAATTGTATGAATGTTAATTATTCTTTGTATTTATGAATATACACCATTGGTATTATTTACTATTTTTATTATTACAGTTATTATTATTATTATTATTATTATTATTAATGTTATTAATATTATTATTATTGTAATTATTATTAATATTATTATTATTATTATTATTATTATATTATTATTATTATTATTATCATCATTTATTAGTAATATCTTTTATATTGTGATATTTAATTAAATACTTTTTTGATCATAAATAAAGTCGGACTGTAGATTGAACAATTAAAAGTTACACACAAGCATCTTCAACCCCAAGCAAGTCGCATGTAACAGCTTAAATAGCCTTCTATGAATATTTTTGCATGCGATGAAATTCATTTTCATTAGAGAAGAGAACATGTTGTGATTGCCCTTGACAAGGCCTTACCCTGGGAGCATGTTTAATTTATAAATTACTATATATTAACCTTATCAGGGCCTGCAAGAGGGGGAGGGCCTCTGTATAACCTTTTTCATTCAAGTAGCCTTAATTGTGTGAACCTAGATAGGTGACAGATACCCTCACTCTCTCTCTCTCTCCATTCATATAGCATTTGATTTGATTTAAAGATGTATAGACCCATGAAAAATCACAAAAATAAATTTTTAAAATGTGTACTTTATACTGGATAATTATAATAAAATTAATAAAACACGTCTAGTGACTTGAAGTGCTTATCATTTTTCGCTGTAACATTTTTTTAAATGCACTAATTTTTATGTTTAAGTTGATAATTTTTATGTTATTTTGATATGAGCAAGTTAATTTTATAAATTAACGTTATGTCTACATCTGAGTTGATTGATAATGTAACTATAAGGGCTTAGGGTCATGTCTACTTCCCATCCATTTAGCGTTGTACTTCCCTCCGGCTATACACACTAAACCATTATAGTTCATAGCTTCTTCCGATAATAGATCTCACTACTCACTTTATTATCTCTAAACTTTTCGTACTACCCTGAAATTATTCCTTTGAGAGATTGTGCTTTTTAGCGTACGTAGTTAATTGTACATGCCTTCATTATCAATCATAGTATTGTGAGATGTCGTTGAATAATCGCGAAGAATACTAATAGGCAAAAAGCTGTGTGCTAAAAATTAGTTGTGTTTCACCAAAGGACTTTCCGATAGCTCACTGTCAGTCAGTGAAAGCTCACTGTCAACTCAGTGATACAAAACATAGCTTTGCATTTTGTATTATGATAAATTTCAAAGTAATTATAATAAATTTTTTATGGTATTTCTTCAGGCACGTTATGAATGAGTTAATAGAAACTGAGAGGCTTTACGTCAAGGAACTACAAGCCGTCATTGCAGGCTACATCGAACAAATGAACAATCCATCCCTCAAGCATCTTATTCCGCCAGCTCTTGTTGAGAAAACCGAGGTGCTCTTTGCAAACTGGGAACAATTATTCCAATTCCATAAAAAGTATGTTTTCGTTTGTTGCTTTTTTACCATTAAAATTCTTGTAAGGAATTATCATCATCATCTACATCAACATCATCATCATCATTATAATCATCAGCATTACTATCTTCATCATCATCATAATTATCAGCATATCTGTATAATCTTCACCATCATCATTATTAGTGTCACACCTTCATCAATATGATCATCAAATAACATTTGCAGTATACCTGCTGCTACTTGGGGATCGGATTCAACGTAACGTATTTCATCACCTTTTTTATCAATCCAAAATCAAATTACTTTATGAATTCCAAGTAATACATGTTTTTTTTTTTCTCATTCAGTACATTCCTTGTTGATCTGGAAAACTGCCAAAGTACGCCAGCATTGGTCGGTCGGTGTTTTGTTGATAGAGTAGGTGTTCTCTCTTGCTTCATTTATGATAATAAATCAAATAAAGATTTATAATATCGAGTTGAGTTCTTCAGCTCCAGATGCCTGGATCCTGCAGTGGGTTCGCTCCTAAATAACAGTATTTTTCTCACAACTGAAAATACCTCCTTTTAGTATCATGAGATTAATATGAAGCTTGTTGACAAATGTGCTTGCCTTCCAATCCCATGGTCATGGGTACAAATCCTGAAATTTCAGGATTTTTTTTATCACTAAAAACACCTCCACTCACTAAAGGTGCATTCATTCACACCAAATCCAAATTTTCAGATTGGAAAGCCATCTCGAACTGATCAGAAAATTGGATCAGTGAGTGTAAGGATAGGGAAACTGGCATTCAGCACATCGGATCTGATGAGCCTGCAGCTTAGCCTCATAAGATTACCTAGTTCGTACATGGATGATTTAACCTCTATGGTTTGTAGAGCATCTCTTCCAAGTTGTAAATGGCGAGTCACACTCTGTTGAACAATAATAAAGTTTTATTAATATGTATGGGTATAGTCAAATTAATATAATTCTTGGTGTGATTGATTACTTTCGCATAAAGTTAGAATGAGAAATAATGAAGTAGTGGCACTGAGCCAGTTTATTCATGTTGTTCTATCAATTCATCATAAGTATTTATCCCTTTAAAATTCTACATCCCAAATTTGTTCTTTCATTAAATCAATAACACATTATTCACTGCTTATGAGTCGGTTGCCTGAACTGAATATTCTTCCATGAATTGTATGAGATTTTAAATGACTTTCATGTACTGTACTGTCTACCAAAAAAATCTGGAAAAACCTCAACAATTCAATTAGAATTTGAAGTAGTGCATCAAAGGATCAAATTAATAATTACTTCCAAATAGAAGCAGATTGGAAATTTTTTTCAATGATTTTCAGATATTTCTACACAAGTCCTTAAATTGATTACCAGCCAGTTTAAGGGTCTGTGCAAAAGAATACAGCAAATGTATTATTATTATACTGTATCCGTTGATTGACGGAGACAGTGTATCTTTACAACTATCATAATTCAAACATTATAAAAAATTAAGTTTTTTATGCTTTTGGGCCCCTTATATTTTATCATTTCTGTCTTCCTTTTGAAGACCTGGGACCTCTTGTTGGGGAACTTAAACCCCCTGTCTAGAACCATAAACACCTTGTTGGAGAATTTTTTTGACTTTCGAAAATTGTTTGACGAATGGAATTACTGGGTAGGCAGTTCATTCATTTTGGACTGCTTTATGTGCTCTACCCACTCACTTTATATATTGTAGTTCTAGAGGCGGTACAGGATTCAAAAGCATATAAGAATTATCTCAGTCGTGTCCGACTGAGCCAGAGCTTACGTTTTAATTGCAGATTACCGTTATGTGGAATATGCAAATGGTATTACGAAGCAAATGATGTTTATTATACGTCTTTTTACAGTCCTTGAATTCAACAATGAAAATTAATAACTTCCTTCCAAGAAAATCTTTACATCCTTTATAATGAACATCTGTATTATAGACTACTATAAAAATGTAATATAATGCATGAATATATCATATATAAAACTGATGCAGCAATGATAAATATAAGTAAAAATATTACATGAGTAGTGTAGAAGTAAGAATATTATTTTAAACATGAGTCCTCAAAACAATATGTTTTGTACAAAGGAGCAGTCAACACTGCTTGTGTGTACTTTCAAAGGCTCTTATTCAAGCTTTGATTAAAACATTTTAAAACTGATTTTTAGCCTAGGCTACCATTTTACAGTACAAAGCAAATATAATTTCAGCCTGTAGATAAAAAATGGTGAAAGCCATTTGGCACTTCAATCCCTCGCTGTGCATTTCACTTTATCTGCATTGCTTCTCTCCATCCACCTAAATGGGTATCAGGTGGGATTTGCCTGCTCCTGCACTGATTACAGCAGAACTATAAGCATGTGGACCCAAAGACCTGGAAAAAAACACATCATATTATATGAAATGAAAGACGATATATGAAACAAATAACAACAACAAACGGTACCAACCGGGCCGACACTGATTTTGAAATGTCACTGTGCTTGGGAAAACAACAAATTATATTTTTTTGTCCATACTGTAAAATGGTTTCAAAAGAAAGATGAAAGAATCATTTGGCGATAAAACAAACTTCCATTTCTGGCTGATGATAATGCTTAGATCCTGCAAGTTAGATGATAAGTATTATGATTGGTGGTGACACTGATAGTTGGTGGTAGATTAAAGTAATCATTATAGTTAGAATAAATCAAACCCGTATATAATTAGCTAAAAGGGATTCCTACTAAGATCGCAAAATCAAAGCTGTCACAATTTAAAATGCAAAGCCTTGACAATCATTAGGCAAATAGACACAGTCAGTGATCAGGGTCACATGACCTGAATTTGTTAACATACAAAGAAAGCGACAAGGCAGCATATAAAAACATTACTTATGTAAAGATAATTTTGCAGTAATAAGCACTGTTACAAACTTTAATTAAAGAATTATAATACAGAAAGCCTAATTTGTAATTGTAATGTAGCTGTTGAGTTCAGAGGTGACACTAGCATGGGAGTATACACACACATTAGCCACCATTGATTGGAGTTGGGAGTGCAAACATTTTTATTTTTAGCATATATAGATATCCAAAATTGGCACTCTCAGACTTCAGAAGAGTGTCTTAATTTGAGATTTGAAAATTCAATTTGGAACAAAACAAAAACTGTACTTCAGAATTGCAACACCACAAAATAGCACTATTTAGACCAAAATATTTCACCAGCTCACTTTGCTGTAATCGCAAAAGTATGCCTGTAATTTGTTTTAATGTGAATTATAAGAAACGACATGAGATTTCAAAAAAAGCTTGAGATTTTAGGGGGCGGACAACATGCTTCTTATACTATTACAAAAGCACATTGCTTTCTACAACCAATTTGAGTCACATGACCAATAATAGTAGGTCGGGGTCACCAATTGTGTCCTTTTCATCACCCATCTTCATCAAAATGTTAATCTGCCTCATGTCCATGTGATTTTTACATACAAATTATGAATACTTTATCAGAACATCGATCACCAATGTGCTTAAATACTGCCCTCGCTCATTAACTCTCATTATATTGTGCTACTGCAGGATTAACTTTTGTTCGAAGGTTATGGAAATTTAATGCACACATGCAATATTTGTATTTCGATAGAATTTTTTCTTTTATTCTTATGCAACAGCGAGTTATTTGCTATTAAACTTTAAAAGCCTGGTCTCATCGTAAAACTTTGTACACACTAACTTGCAAGCTGCGGTGGCTGTTCCACAATTGTCTCATTTCTCCCTCCGAAAATATTTACCTACGTCAAAGCATGTGTACGTCAGGCTATTTTTTATTTGTGTTGGTACTGTACGTGTCAAATTTTACACTTTGACTGACGTAGGTCACATTTCTTGGACCTAGTGTAAAGCAACATTTAGAAGCTTCATTATCCAGCTTAATTATCTTCAATTGTCTAGAAAGAATGCTGTCAAAGTACAGGATTTAAACCCACAACCCTTTGTTTAGAAGGCATGCACTTGACCATTCAACCACAACTCTATGAAATGGGATTTTCACTACCACAACATTTTGTTTAATATAATAATATATGTTTATATGTTAATATTTCAGGAATATAATTGTATATAAAAGATAAGTTATTGTATATGAAATATATAATTTATTTTATATGATTCCTCAATATGTTTTCCAATTTTTTTTGTTGAATTTCAGGAGCATGAAATCAATAAGTTGTACAGTACGTATTGCCAAAATAAACCACAAGCTGAGGCGCTAAGAAGGGAGTGCGGCAACGACAATCCTTTCTTTGTTGTAAGTCCTTCATTATGTAATTCTATTAAAGCATAAAATATAAAAATAATGATAAAAAGAGGACAAATTAATCAGCAAATACAAATTTCAACCTTGTCAACAAATTATTTCTATGATTCAGAGTAGTGGGTGTTATATAGAATATTTTTGAAAAGCAATAAACAGGTTTGTTCACAATCAACATTTTGCACAAAGCATACATGCTGGGGAGGTGGGTCAGATATCTAGACATGATCAATATATGTGGCAAAGACAAGCCAAATCAGTCACTTGTCGCAAAAATTGATTTTTAGTTATTAATACAGTGTTAAAGAGTAAAATGAGAGATAAAATGGTAAGAGAACCATTTAAATTTGACATTTTGTTACAAAGTTACAAGATTTTAAACATACAGCTGTTTAAAAAGCAATATTTGAGAAATCGGCCTCCAAAGTTTATGATTTCGGGAATTTTTCAGGCAGAAGCCATTACAAATCATTAACAATTGTTGTTTGAACATTGAAAATGGAGGAAAATAACAGCATAGCATGATATATACTGTAGATATGTAAAGGTTAGTCTTGTGTTATAAATAGATTTTAAAAATGTTGACATCCCAGCATGTTTCAGCCATTATTTCTGAAACAGGATTTGTGACAAGTGACTTGTTTGGCTTGTCTTTGCCACATATTATGTCAAATGATGCAAAAATGTCTAGGTATTCAACTGTTGCTACACCTTCACTAATACATGAAGATATTGATTTTGGGCACTTCTCAAGCAGAAGCCATTACCAAATCATTAACAATTGTTGTTTGAACATTAAAAATGGGGGAAAATAACAGCATAGCATGATATACACTGTAGATGTGTAAAGGTTAGTTTTTTTGCAATAAATAGATTTTTAAAATGTTGACATCCCAGCATGTTTCAGCCATTATTTCTGAAACAGGATTTGTGACAAGTGACTGGTTTGGCTTGTCTTTGCCACATATTATTCCAAATGATGCAAAGATGTCTAGGTATTCAACTGTTGCTACACTTTCACTAATACATGAAGATATTGATTTTGGGCACTTCTCAGGCAGAAACCATTACCAAATCATTAACAATTGTTGTTTGAACATTGAAAATGAGGGAAAATAACAGCATAGCATGATATATATACTGTAGATATGTAAAGGTTAGTTTTGTGCAATAAATAGATTTCAAAAATGTTGACATCCCAGCATATGTTTCAGCCATTATTTCTAAAATAGGATTTGTGACAAGTGACTTGTCTGGCTTGTCTTTGCCACATATTATGTCAAATGATGCAAAAATGTCTAGGTATTCAACTGTGGCTACACTTTCACTAATACATGAAGATATTTATTTAAATTAATCTGCCATGTCTTGAATATTTCTGTAGTATACTTCGCAAAAAACTAGAAACCGATTTGTTCACAATTATCAACATTTTTCACAGGGATGAGGAAGTCAGATAAAGCATGATCAATATATTATATAAAATGTCTATGTATTTAACTGTTGGTACACTTTCAGTAATACATGAAGGTATTGATATAAATTGCCATGTCTTGATGATTCCAGTAGGCAAAAAAATAATTACTGTAGATCCTCAGACCTCCTTGTTTAAAAGCCCATTCCCTACTTTAAAGAACAGTGTTGCAAAAAAAGAAAAAAAAAAACATTTTCTATGTATACTTTCAAAGAGGGTAACAAGTTAGACGTCTTTTTTTACTGTACATTAATTTGATTTCCTCCCCAGCCATTTAAATCCTCATTTCATTAAACCATTATATTTTTTTAACATGTTAAGGAATTGGATCGTGTGTTAAATGTCAGGCTTTGTCAGAACTTTCTTGAGTGATCTTTACTTAGCAAATATATGTCAATATATTTTTGTTTTCTAATTGTAATTGTAATGTAATGATTTATCTCAGAAAAAATGAGTATGTATATATAAAATTTTAGAATTGTTTTGCTCTATTTCACAACCAAAGTTCCCATGTATTTCTTTTTGTATGAACATGTACATATGGCAGTGAATTATATACATTTAATTTAATAGTAATAAAAAACGATAAAATAATTTTACAATAATATTTTAGTTTTTAAAAATACAATCCACAGAAGATTATTTGCTTTACAAATTGTTTTTACAACCCAAAAAATATTTATCTTGAAAGAATTTTTCAAAATATTTAATTCAGTATACATTATTCATAAGATTTTCTATGAAAATACATTATGATCTTAATTTATGTTACTTGAAGTACATCGCTATGGTAACATTAATAGTCATTCACACCTGCTGCTCTTTACAACAATCAGTAACGTACATTGTAGGTACGACTGAATACTCCACGGGAAAAAAATGCGTTGCTGCTTCAGTCATACTGCATAATAAATTGCTCATGTTAACAAGATTAAATATAATGAAAATTAGTAATAACCATCATCTTACAGTACAAAAGTCCTTGGAATTTTAGTTCTGCTTAGATATATTGTAGCTAGTATGTACCCTGTTGTTGAAAAATTGACATTAATTTGCAGGTGGAGCGTTATCATTTTTTTCAAACAAAACCACAATGACTGTAGAAATAAAGTAGAATTTTAAAATATATAAGAGTCATATTTTTTTCTTTTTATTACTAATTTATTATTGTTGTTGTTGTTTACTGCACTTATGTAAAAGAATAAATATGTATTTAGAAAATAATTTCACAACTAAATGATGTTTAAACTTACCTAACGACAATGCTTACGAGTGTTATGTTCGCTGCAGTTGTAACGGTTATTATTATTACAATTATATTTATCTTAGTAGTATTGTTACAGTATTATTATAAATAATAATGTTATATTAGTATTTTTATTGTTATATTACTGTTTTAGTCATTAATTATAGTTATTGAAAATACTTCACACATTTTTCTATTAGAGCAGACAGCTTCTGTGAAATTTGACAATATTTTAGGGTATTCCTTTAATCGCTATACATTTTTAGGAGAAGGTTTCTACTAATTCTTGGTAATTATTTTCTTTACAGGAGTGTCAAAAGCAGTTGGGTCATAGGTTACCATTAAGTGCATACTTACTAAAACCGGTTCAGAGGATAACAAAGTACCAGCTGTTACTAAAGGTAAGTCAGGGTGCTTACAATCAAGTAAAGGGAAACTAACCCCTCTCCATCTACCTTTCTCCCCCATTCCCCCCTCCCAAAAAAATGTCTCTTATTCTTCCTTTTCATCAAGAACATTTTGGTTGTGAAATCTCCAATAGATGAGGCTCTGGAAAGAATTTCCTTCTGTCATGGAACTACATTAGGACTGCTTCCTTTGGGCAACCCTATTATTAAGGAGACACCACTATTGTCATGGGGATCCCCTATTAGCGGGACACTTTTTCAAGCATGAAATGAGGGAAAAGTATATCTTTTAACACTACGATCAACTCCTAATCATGGGACATTAAGGAGATATGTTTTGGGTCCCAATTAATAGGACTTTTACTGTATTCCTCTCAAACATGACTTTGCATAATAATTAGAAAATGTATAAGTCTTTCATTAACTACGATACCTCATCTATCAATTCATCATTTAAACAACACCTCAGCCATACACCAACCAATTCATCCTTCCTGGAAGATTAGTACTTCACTTATAAGCTTATCACCTAAAATACCATAAAGCATGTCAAAAAATGACCTCTAGTAAACAGTGATAATAGATCATGTAATGCTTAAAAAATTGCAAGATTAACACTCTACCTCAAAATTCTCCCTCATAAATACTGAGGTTTTCTTCTTTAAAAAATATTGCATTTGGTTCTTTAGTCTTTAAAAAAGTTATATCCTTATAACTCATAAAACTGAAAATGGAGATTAGCACCTTACCAGGAAATTCTGAAAATTTAACTTTTTTCATTATTATATTTTTTTCAGGAAATGCTTAAGTATTCAGCAACAGAGACAGGGTTCAGTGACTTGCAGAAGGCATTAGATTGTATGCTGCATGTTTTGAAGTTTGTCAATGACTCAATGCATCAGATAGCCATCACAGGCTTCGAGGGCCAGTTGTCTGATCTGGGCAAGCTGCTTATGCAGGGGTCATTCTATGTCTGGGTGGAGCACAAGAAGGGTAATATCAAGGACATTAGGTTTAAGAAGATGCAAAGGCACATGTTTTTGTACGAGAAATGCATCTTGTTCTGCAAGAAAAGAGACGATTTGAAGGATAAAATATGTTATACATTCAAGAACAAATTAAGAGTAAGTATAAGATGAATTAAATAATAATAATCATCATATTTTATTGCCTATCCATGGCAGTCTTTCATACTACTGATGTACCATTGTGATAATTGAAAGAATAAATATATCTGATTCTGCCCTCTCCCCAGCCTCCCAGGTCAACCTGACATGCCCCTATATTCAATTTTTAAAAATATACTAAAATATACAATACATTAAATATTAATGGAAACAATTTTCATACAAAGATTTATAAATACTTCAATGTTATAAACTGATATCTCCATTGAAATATATGTTAACAAAATTAATGATGAAACTGTTTTTTTTTTTTTTACAAAATTGTTGGCTTACCGTATCAAAATGCATGCTTTTATATGGGTGCTGTCAATAGCCATTACCTACATTGCTATTGTTGAATGTCCAGCTAACGTCATGAAAAATGCAAAATACCAATGCTCAAATTGCTTTGAAGGAAGAACGGAAACTTACAAAAGTTAAAGCAATTTTTAACATCCTGAATATTTAATTCATCTCTTACCTCTGTCAAACTTTGATTTGATGGTGTTTATAAAAATTACAGTACATTGGTCATATTCCCAAATTGTGGAATAAAATCTATATGTATATCATGAATGAAAGCTGATTGGCCAATCGTAGAGAGAAATTATAATATGATTTGCTTATATTCATGTTAATGTGTATATTATATTATATTATATTATATTATATTATATATTTATATAGTGCACACTTTCTTTTTGTCACATGCTTTACCATAAAACAAACAAATGTAAAAATATTGTACCTGTAGGTCTAGTCAAGATATTATACTCCCATATGTGAAATATACAGGTCATGTGAGTCTATAACTGTACAATTCTTAAAACAGTTTGCTAGTGCAAGACTCATAATATCCTCATTCTTGGTAATGTTTGTCTCGTGTGCTTCTCTTCAATTGCATATATAATCGTTAATGTGCTTATTTGGTAATAATCCATCCTTTCTTTTTTATGTGTCTCTCTTAAAGTGTGATGTCTTCTGCCCTCTAGTGTTAGTTTGAAATAAAACATTTTTTTCTGCAATGTTGATTGTAAAAGTGAATATGCACTGTGCTTTAGGAATTTAAAGGTTACAAAATTGTTTCATAAAAAATATAATTTGAAAATATAAATAGAAAATATTTACATAAATATTGAAATGGCCAACATATTCAAATTTAGACCTATTCAATTCAAACTCATAAATAAGTAACAGTCAGTTTATGTATAAAATTCCACATCAATTATATTAAAGGCAAAGTTAGGAGAATATTAACCCATAACTCGACAGGGGATGAATTAAACCATAGCTTCAAGGTAACCCCCTACTCTTCCGAAAGATGTAATGGTTTCTTTAAAGTGCACAAGATCCAGATGTGTACACTGAACCTCCATTTTAAGTCCTTATCTGAGAAGACCTGGTTCTACCAACCGAACCCTGGGCAAGGAGTGGCCAACTTAAAACCAGTGCTGATGTTAAGGCTGTAGTTAGTGGCACCCCTGCCTTACCACTCAGCCACTCGACTCACTATTAACACCATACATAAATCATAAAATGCAGCTGGAGCTCCCCATAGCCAAAACTTTGCATTCCAGAATAGGATCAATTAGATTTTTTATATAAAGTTAATTAATGTTAATTATATTAATTAATTAATTATGTTAATTATATCAATTAATTATATTAATGAAAATTAATTGATATATTAATTTGAATTGCAGGTGCAAGATCTAGGAATTACAGAACATGTTAAAGGAGACAGGAGAAAATTTGAATTGTGGCTTCAAGATAAATCAGAAATACACATCATACAGGTATTTAAATTGTTTGTACAGGAGATACAATGCACCTTCCAATTCAAGAACCCTGTAAATCTGAGACCCCTCCAATTTGAGCCCACTTTTTCCAAAACCAAATAACAATATACTATTTCTTTAACAGAAAGCTAACTCTCTAATTAGAGACCGAACACCAAGGCCACCCCAAATTTTATGTTCCAAAAGTGGTCTCGAATTGGAGGCGAACTGTAATTTTTTAAAATTTTATTTTATTCATTAGGTATGCAGGAAAATAAAAGCTGATAAAAATACTGTCTGTAAATTGAAATTTACACTGGCTTTGGAAAGCTGACATCTTCTAGGTGTATTATTTATCATGTTTATTTGTACTATATTGTACTTTTCTTTAGGCTAATAATGATGAAACTAAGGTGACTTGGGTGAAAGAAATCAGAGAGCTGCTTCACAGCCAGCTAGAGGAAGAGCTAGGTAAGCAATAGATGAATAGTATGTTTATTTCGGTGAAAAAAAATGATGAAAAATTACTTTCCCCCGTGGTTAATAATAATAATATGTTAGATTTATATAGCACTTAATGCCAACAAGGCCTCTAAGCGCTTCACATTACTACCCCCGGTCACTGGATTAAACGCATATGGAACACAAACTCAAGCTCCCTGGGGGATTATTCCATAAAGTTTCAGCAGCTACATCAGCACATTTTGGCATTTAACCCTACCAGGTACCCATTTATACTCCTGGGTGGAGAGAAGCAATGCAGATAAAGTGTCTTGCCCAAGGACACAAGTGAAATGCACAGGTGGTAGCCACCATTCCGTGAACTGTAGAGATCCATTGTTAACCTTTGGTACCCTGTCCAATTCCATCTGCTATCCTACTGAAGTGCAAGTACAGAACAAAAAAGTAAAACATACCATCTTTTGGAAGCAATCTTTTAAAATGTTGGTCTCATGTGCAGATTGAGCCATGTGCAAGTTAAAGTATGCACGCTTTTCGGAAAAGTGTAAGGGATTTTCTCTTGGTGTACTGCCCATCACACCGAGAGAAGGACCCTACTGGAAATAAGTCTTCAGACTTTAGTGGGTTATTTTTTATCCTTGGTGTTCACATCAAATACTGGCCTAGATTTATAAACTCATCTATGCCTACCACCACCATTTGTCAACCATTGCAATATTCTCTAATATGTATTGAATTTAATTACATTTATGATAGTTATAATGTGATGTAAACAAATCACATGAACATATTTTTGACATTGTATTTGTAAGGTATACACCACTCTCGTAATCTCTCCAGTATTTAACCCTGCTACATGTATTTAATTTCAGCTATGAAGGATCTCATTGAACAGAAGACCCTTGCAATATTTGATAACAACAGGTAAATGTCATTTTCCTCAAATTAACACCTTAGCATCAAATTTAAAGCCACAGATCACCTTTTCACTCTTTTAAACTCTCCCTAAACCATTTGATGAATCACCCTCAATTGCTATTTTTAAGACAAAACTTAAAACATAGATTTTTTTACATTTAAATATGTGTCACGCACAATTACGTTTTCGTTTTGTAGAACCTTAGCAAAAGTATCCAGGGACCTGTTCTTAGCGGAAGGGTCCATTGAGTGTAGATGATGTGACTAGTCCGTTTAGCATATTCATGAATTGATAGCTGCTGCTTCGAGTCCCTTCTAATAGTTATTTTTGGGAAACAAAATAGGGCAGTATAACTGAAGAATGTTTAACTAAATTGGTTTTTTGTTTCACAGAATTAATAATAATCTAGAAGTGACAGGTGGAGAAACAACAGTTCTGCCATCACCAACACCAAGTGAAACGTCATCTGCAAGTGGAAACTTTGCTAACATGTCCTCGGCAGACAACGATGAAGACGGTTGGGCCAGTGAGGAGTTCAGCGATTCAGATGACGGGATGGATGATACGGGTTCAGTCAGTACTCAAGTGAGTAGAATTAATTTGGAAATTTCGTAAAATAATTAGTGGTATAACATCATAGGAACAAGTATTAAAATATATACATTGGTTGTACATATGGTATTATTTAAACACTTAATAATACATTTAAGAAATCATCATCATCATTGCATTTTTCAAAACCACATGTATATATATAAATATATATTATTACAAATGGTGTTAATTTGCTTATTTTGTTATGTAAATACTTACTATTAATAACTGTATTAGGCCCCATATTTTGCATGTTTTGTTTTCCCTGTACAGTCATTGTAATTTATTAATATTACTATATTGTAATTATTAGTATTTATCATTATTCATTTGACACTTATGAATCTGTATTGCAAGGAAAGCGCTTGGAAAATATACAAAGCATATTTATATACTAATTTATGCAATTAGATTTTGGTGTTTAAACCAGCAGCTCACATGTGTACCATTCAGTTCAAATTACCATTAATCTCATATTCATTGAAATTCCAATGTTGATTTTTTTGCATTATAATATAATATCTACAACATACTGTTATATATTTTTCCATATTTTAATTTTCTATTTAACATTTTTATATAATCAGCTGTACAGTAATTCATTATATATTTCATTTCATTGATCAAAATTATGCGTCTTTATTGTCTCCTAATATATGCATCTTCCATTGGTTTTTTTTTTTTATTAATGTTATTTGTATATACTTTATGTAAAATGTGATTCAAAAACTCAACCCACTCTAACTTGTTTCATTGGTTAACTGACAAAAATGCTTTTGACGGGAAATACTAATAACTCGCTTATGTATATTATTATCATATTGCTTTTCTAACAATCGTTGCTACACCCTCACCTTAGGCAATTGCTATGAATCAGTATGTCGTCCTGGCTGAATACGAAACCGTTGAGGAGACAGAACTTCCTGTCAAAGAGGGCGACGTAGTCGAAGTGGAGCGGGTTGGAAAGTCTGGCTGGTGGCTTGTCCGCAAAACTGCAACCAGTGAGAAAGGCTGGGTGCCGGCTGGGTACCTGGAATCGCTTGCGATGCGTGCAACGCGCTCAAGCAGTGTGCCCTACCTACCCCAAGGTGTGTTTGTAAAACCTAGATAGAATGCTTGCATGTATAATAAAAAAACGTGTGTGGGCAAACTAATTTACATGCCAGGTGTAGTATTCCATACTAATTTGCATATTTCTTGTAAAATGTCTTGTTTGCATAGCCTGCTGTATTGTAAATTAGTGCTACATTAATGCTTGCCATTAAAAATTATAATAAATCATAATCATGATTAATAACTAAAATAATTAAAATCTAACACATATTTTATTTTTGTATGACAAGTGTCATCTTCATATTTATAATATACAGTAAATGTCAGTTTTTTTTTTGGTTTTCTTTTTGTTTCAAAATTGGCTTATACTCTTAGTAGCTCTGTCCACACAATAACATTTTTTTTAATGTGTGTGATGTGCCCATATATGGACATGATGATTTCATATTACACCCAAAATCGGTATCACATATATTTGTCACATACATCTTGATAGTGTGAGCAAAGCTACAGCCATTAATGTTTCTTTTTTTTTTTTCATTTTGTGTTATTTTGTTCTTTTTGTTTTCATTTCAACAGCAACAGAAAAGGTTTTATATATATGATTTTATTTGAGGTGAGCTTTTGTGTTTCATACAAGTGTTACAATTTTATTTTGACTTATTTGATCAGTCCAAATCAAAAAAATGACATTTTTTCTTTAATTTTTATTATAATCTAATTAACTTCAAATCTCAATTTATAACTCTCTTAAACTCTATCTACATTATGTTTTTTTTGTGACATATTTGTGTCATTTACCCAATTATGGGCTAGAAGGTGTCATACTACGTCCATATAAGGACAGATTACACACGTTTGTCACAAAAACTTGATAATGTCAACAGAGTTCACAATAACTTCATTTAGCTTATATCCTTCCAGTAATTGTACATTTCTTAATATTTCATAATCAATTACAATTATTTTCATTAATAATATTTATCATTAATAGTTATTAATCTGTTTCTTGTTATTTTTTATTAATGTCTGAATAATATGAATGAATAATGAAATATTATTAACAACAGTAAATTGATATCCTGATTACAATAATTTTCTTAACAGAGATTTTTATTATCATACTGACAAAATATAAAATTTTTTTTTTTTTCAATTTGTATCCAACTAGAATCACCGAGAATAAGTCGGGAGACAGTGCAACTGAGGCGCAGCCGAGGCCGGAGTAGTTCCAGACATTCATTACATAAAAGGAACGCAATTCGCATTGAATCACGTGCATAGATGAGAAAAAAAAATGCAATTCACAAGATGAGCACATCTGTGGAACAACGTTGATTAAAAAAAAGCTTGGCGATTTAAACTTGCAAATAAAAATTCAGTATTTAACAGTAAATGCTAAGATACTGATTGATGATGTTCTATCATTTGAAATTCTAAATATAGATTCTGTTTCATGTTTGATATTGTAAAATAAGAGATTTTTTATTGCTATGGAGATTAAGATCTTACTAAGGAATAAATGGTAACCAGTGGTGCAAAACTGATACTGATGATAGGCTTATTCTAATTATTTACACCGGTAATATTGCTACAAATTGATGATATGTTAGCACAGAGATTAAATAATCCTCCAGGGTGATATGAACATGGTCAGTCTAAAGTTATTTGGTTTACTGCTAATCAATTAAAAACTGAATGTACCTACCCAGAAATGTCAATTACTTAATTATAATAACTGAAGATAAAGCAGCATACAAAGATGTTATATATTGATTCCTGTTTTCCACTTGCGGATTCTTTTTTTCCTCTGTATAATGTTATTTAAAAAGCAGAGAGTATTACTACAAGACAGTTTAAAATGTATCTCTAGAGATCCTATCCTGCTGTTGAAAATACTAAACAAGTGTGAAAAGGCTTTTTTTTATTACACTGATCACTGTTACACTGATAAAACATCTTAATAATTACGTTAGAAATTGGGATGGTTTGTCAGTGAAGAAAATGGCGTCCGGTTGAACGCTCTTTGCAACGATAGCAACAGAGTAGTATCACATGGTATCATGACATAACACTGTAGTCTGTAGTACTCTATAGTCAATTCTAATGATGCTAATCAAATTCAAATCAAAACAAAAATCCCAGTGCTCCAGTTGTATGGCATTTGCAGCAGGATACCAGGGATCGAATCTCGTTTGGGGCGATTTTTCGCACTTGCAAATTCTTTTCTTTTGACAATTTATATTATCTTCTTTCTCAGGTATCAATGTGATACCATTCCTATTGGTCGGTTATCAAGTACTTGGCATATACATAACATAAATAACATATATTGTAATTCCTGATATCATATATAAATAAAAACATTTTCACATTAAATAGTTGAAAGAATTGTGTACTCCTAGATGAGTTGCAAATGGTTCACATAGTTTTTGATGCACTGATCCTCTCTCTTCTATTAATAAATTGCATGATTATTGCAGATACTCTAAAACAGTTCCCTAATTTGTTTTAATATTTATTTTTTTACATACAAAAATATACATATTTTCCTTCCGATTTGACTTGAATAGTAATGACTTACAAAATAAAATCCGAAAAATTTGTATTTTTATGTACAGTGAAAAAATATATGTTCGTGTTTTCAATCCACTTTTAAGTTAGTTTCCATTTCCCCTTAGCCTGGGTTTCAGGCCTTATTTTTGGTTAACTCACTCTTTATTGCGCACCACATCTAATTTATTTGGCGTCCCATGCTCAATTTCTGTTTTTCGGATCTCAAAATCAATCGGTGAGAAAAAAAAACCTACTAATTTCTCCCCAATTCTCAAATACTGATTTTTAGGCGTATAAATAAGAAATGTGTAAATACATTGAAGAAGTTTCTTGTAAAAAACAAAGCGATATCTCCATATAATTCGGGTGTATCTCTGTAATGTTCCCATTCATTATCAAACAAAATCTTGCTAAACTCTTAAAGAAACAAGTTATTTTCTTAAACTTTAAAATTCAGATAGTTTAACTTTTAACAGTGTTACAATAGTGAAATTACTAAATTGGACATAATTATTTTTTCCTTTGCTGGGTGGAAACACTTAATTTGTTGCAGTTAAATTGCAAATAAAGTATATAGGTAATATAATATAAATTAATCTGGCTAATAATTAATAAACTGATATTCTCTATATTAGGTGCTTGGTTTTACGAAATAAATTGCATAATGAAACAGGTAAACCACAGAGTTAACGATATGACCACATTTGGATTAACGTTATAACATGATACACTAAATCTATTTTTACAGCTGTACTAGTGTTTGTTGACTCTATCTTTCAATGGTAAATGGCGCTATTTAAATACTGCCATTGTACGTACTGTCGTCAGGATTAGCACACTAAACAATAGGTTATATGACTGCAAATTATACCCACTAACATTACGGGCCAAAAACGTTTATGACTTTAATTTAGGTAATGATTTGATCTGTTTGACAGAAATATGGGCCTATTTGAATGGTACTGGTACTCATTAAACTTTTAGTATTTTTGATCAGGCTTATTTTAAACAAATGTTGGGGTTCGTGTCGGTACTTAAATAAATATCTCAAACTATCTTTAACTGTTAATAATCGCTCCTGCGATATAAACACGAAAAACATTTTCTTTATATAAATAATTAGAAATATAACATTAAATTAATTGAAAATATATTTGAAAATTATAAAAATGAAAAATCGATTTTGCGCAATAAAAGAATTGTTGATCAGAATTGTTGTATATACTGTAGAAAAAAGAAATTGTAGATAGGTTTTAATTTTCGTTTTGTAAATCAAGAAGTCAAGATATAACTTAAAGATTTCCCTGTGCATCTTTATAACAACAGATTTAATATATTTAAAAGTTAATAATTTTCGATTTAAAAATACTTTATTTATTAATGATATCTTTTTATTGTTTTGATTAAAATTTATTAATACACTTAAAGATGTACTGTCAATAGACAGGAAAATACCTAAATTATTCAAATAAAATTTTGAAAAGCTCAATTAAAAAGATAAGATAAATTATTCGACCAAGAAAGAGATCGAAAAAATGGTTTTGACATTTTACTACAAAATACCTAGATTGATTAGCAGCCAATTTGAGGATTCTTGAAGTAAAATGTAAATCGATGAAAAAGTTTTTTCCGATCTGTTTCTTGGTGGAATCCAATAGTTTGATTCTTTTAAATGAGCTATTGAAAGCTTTCTTTTAATTGTAGCGGGGTGGTTTTTTCTGTATTTTGACTGATAGTGCATTTTTAAAGGAAGTACATCACATTACCCCTAGATATTATACAATTGTAGGTACATTAAATCAGTTCTATACATAATCACATTGAAATACTTCAGGTTATCGTTGGTATAAATCATATTCAAGTTATTTGATTTTTTGAAAAATGCTGTTGCAGGCCTACTTTGAAATGTCTGAACAAGTGGTGTTAATAGATTAACCCGCATGTTCGATTTATATTGTTATTTATTGCTGTCAATAAGTGATAAAAAATAAGTATTTACAAGTGAGGCCTTTTTCATTTTAGTAAAACACCTACATGCGCATAAACTAAACATGCATGTTAGTGTATAGTGCTTTTGTTAACCAAAACAATTGAGTGATTAAGTTATTAGTATTTTTTTACTTACGGTTTATTTTCATTAACTGCAATATTAAGTCTTTATTACGAATACAAAATGGTTCTTATGATAACACTTTGAGTCAGAGGTGCCATAATATATGTCAGCCAATAATCTTTCGAGCCAAGTTTGTGATATATTGTTCAATAAATGAACAAAAGAGATATGAAGATACTATTTCTGGTTTTTGTAACATAATTGTCTTAGTGATCAACAGAGAACATAAACCAGTCGATTGGGATGGGAAACTTGGGATTCTTCGTTTCTTCAAAGTAAAACAGCTGTATGAAGGAATTGGAATTACAGGTCTCCCTTCAATGAAAGATCACTTTGGGACCGGGGTTTTCAGCTTTGGTCCCTACTAACAGTAAAGAAAGACATTTTTCAATATGGGACCAAGGAAATGTGGTCTTTAATTGAAGGGGTTTTTTTATTCGAGAGACTGGGTGTCTATAAAACGAAGACCGAAGACCCAAAAACGAAGACCCCTATTTTTTCTAATTTATTTTGATGATAATGAACCTGGCTGTCACAAAATCAAAATTACGAAAGTTTTTGGCCGTCTGTTTGTGAAATATTCAAGGGTCTTCGTTTTATAGACACCCTATATGGGTGTCTACAAAACGAAGACCGAAGGCCTGAAAAACGAAGACCTTCAATTATTTCGCAATTATCTTATTGTAGGCATTTCAAAATCATCATAAAACAGTTGCCAAGTACATATTTCATTATTTCATCGGAATAAAATTAGGAATATCAAGAAATACTTAAGGGTTTCGTTTTATAGACACGCTCGAGAGACCTGTACATAGGTCTACTTATGAGAAGAAAATGAGCATTAGTCGTCTTGATTGAAGAATTTACCAAAACTATAAATGCTGTTAATTTAACAATCACACAAGATTATAATATGCCGACAAAATTAAAGGTGCTTTCCCGTATTTTTCTACAGTACAAGTAAATAGAGTGTCATCATACACAACGTTCGATAGGTAATTTTACAGCTTTATGATAACAAATATATTGAGACTACCTTCGGCCCTGTTGGGGTGTAAGGGGGAAGGGCCTGAAAATTCCAGTGGTTCTGATGTACAGGAAGGCTAATTTGAATGATTTTCTCATAACCAAGATCTATAAAATACCTCCAAAAGTGCAACGACAAGCATACACTACAAGCGCAGGAAGATTGGAAGCTCTCCACGCCTGGCGCCAAATATTTGGGACATGCCCCGTAATTATTTAATTGGGCAAGACACTTTTTTCTTTCTTCACCATGGGGTTATCTGTTGGGAGATGAATGGAATATAAAGTGCTATGCATAACAAGGAATACACTCCAAGACCATGAGCACAGATCTTGGGACACGTCCCTGACATATTTTTAATGGGGTTGGTCTCCCTTCGGCTGCAATGTGATTTCATAAGTCAAAAAGATGCCTAAAAATTTTTGAAATGAACTGCATAAATGACCTAGGTTTTAACGAACGGTACAGCCAGAATATAGAACATACCGGTATATCTGCCCATAAATATTGAATTACCTATATACACGACTCGAGTGCGCGCGTGCCTTTATTATAATTTGAGAAGTATGGGGAAAAAAGCGTGTAAGGATGAGATTGGTCTTCGGCACATAAAGTACCGGTCACTAGGTAAAGTAAAGCAAATACATCGAAGAGAATTAAGTTTTATTTTCGACAGCTGCATCACCGAGATTAATTTGATCTCTATGATGACCAAAAATCCCGAATAAAAGATCATGAGAAATTTTGACACTTCATTTTGTCCATTTTGACTATAATGTTGATGCGATGATGACGAATTTTGCTAGAGGCCCCAGATGAGAGAAAAAACGGAATGCTACATATCATCTCTATTTAAAATAGGGATAGATTTATTATTGTAAAACCATACTGTATTTCTATTTAAAACTAAGTTAGGCCTTTTGAAATTAAGATCTCTATTTAAAACTTTTTTCATCAAAACTAAGATATCGCCATTTACGATTAAAGGATACCGTAACTGGGCTCGCCAAGTAGGCCTATGAACTATTAATGTATAATCAATCCCCAATATTTTGTATAGGCCTACTTTAGGCCGATGTTCAAAATAGGCCTATAGATAGCCAAACTAATTTCTCCATGATATACAGTGTTACTAACAGTGTAATAATTAATATATTCAATCATTTTAAATGTAGGTCGGTAATACAGTAAATACAGTATATCTAAATGGAGGTGTGTTGGTGCACGTTACGTCTTATTATATTAAAAATGTGTAGAAAACTGTATCCATGAAGACGTTGCACTTTGCCTCTAGTGATCCCGAATAAAAGATCATGAGAAATTTTGGCGCTTCATTTTGACTATAATGGTGAGGCGATGATGACGAATTTTTGCTATAAGAGTGTAATTTCCGGCCAGCTAGAGGTACTATTTACCCGAATTTTCGCGCCTCAGCCCCAACCGTGGTGGGACCAAAATAGCTGATAAAAGATCATGATCGAGGAATTTGTTGGCGCATCAGGCCTAAGAGTGTCATTTCCGATCATCATAAGAGAGTCCTGTTTCCTCAAACGTTCGCACCTCAGCCCCAAGGTGGGGCTGAGGTGAGTGTCGCCTCATGTCTCTTATACACATCTATTGTCTTAGTGATCAACAGAGAACATAAACCAGGAGAGAAAAAACGGAATGCTACATCTCTATTTAAAATAGGGATAGGCATATTTATTATTTTAAAACCATACTGTGTTTCTATTTAAAACTAAGATATGCCTATATCTATTTGAAATTAAGATCTCTATGTAAAACTAAGGTATCTTTCAAAACTACTAGTAAGATATCGCCATTTACGATTAAATGATAACTGGGCTCGCCAAGTAGGCATGAACTATAATCAATCCCCAATATTACCGGCCTAATTACTGCTGTGATTCGGAAGAACGCAATATAAGCCAAACTTTTAGTTCTGAAATACTGAGTTCCTTGTGTTTCTTAGCCTTTTGTTGTGGAAATTAATTTTATTGATTTCTACACAACAGAAAAATATAAGAAAGGATTTTTATGATGATTTTTTCTATAACCCTGTCAAAATGGACATATTGCACTTTTCCAAATTAAAACAAAAGACAAGATGAAACTTTTAAAAGCTGATATTAGGCATTACTCCAGTTTTGGCAGGCACAAAATGCGTGCATTAAACTTTAGGTTTAATGCAATAACAAATCAAATGTTATTTTTACCAGGAATTTAGGAGTTTCAATTCCATTATATTTCCAAACAAAATTAATTGTAATTTTAATATCCATCCATCGTCGACATAGGAGGACATCTTAACTTTTTATTAGCTCTTGATTAAAAAATATCAAATGTCATTGTATTGTATTGTCTAAATGTCAATATAATATAATTTTTTTTTTCATACCAACATTATTGCATTAATATTATAAAAAGATTTTAAAAATGTGTCTGACCTATTTTACTGTAGAACATTTCCCCTAAACATTGAAGTGTGGTACACTGTAAAATATATTCTATCAGTATTACAGCTACAGACAGAACATTGTTTAGTGAGTTTACAATATAATTGAAATTTTTAAATTCACCATGAATAATGGTGTTTTTTATTTAATAAACAAAATATAAGTACCAAACTTCTAAACAGAACACTTTGTCACGTAGCGTCTGCATGCACCAAAGTGGAAATTTTAAGCTAATAATTGTGATGTATATGTGTTATGTTGTTTGGTTGAATGGTGTTTAGTTAATTTTACAGTCTAATATGACCACAAAATGGAAGTCCACTCATCTTCCAACTACAGAACACTTCATCACTTAGCTTCAGACCCATTTAAATTTATATTTCCTTAAAACATAAAGCAGCCACTCATTAAATAGACTCAGAAAATGATTTATTATCGATCTCATTTATCCACATCTTCCAACTACAGAACACTTCATCACTTAGCTTCAGACCCATTTAAATTTATATTTCCTTAAAACATAAAGCAGCCACTCATTAAATAGACTCAGAAAATGATTTATTATCGATCTCATTTATCCACATCTTCCAACTACAGAACACTTCATCACTTAGCTTCAGACCCATTTAAATTTATATTTCCTTAAAACATAAAGCAGCCACTCATTAAATAGACTCAGAAAATGATTTATTATCGATCTCAGGTCGAATATCTTAAAATGTGCTGCTAACAGTGCTCTTCATAACAATAATTAATATATTCAATCATTTTAATGTAGGTTGGTTAAATACAGTAAATACAGTATACCCAAATGGAGGTGTTGGTGTACGTACGTCTTATATTAAAAATGTGTAGGAAACTGTATGAACACGTTGCACTCTATTCCCGTCTCTTTATGCATATTCATAAGCTTAAAATCCAGGAACTTCGACTGCCATGCATTGTTGAATTCACGCACACATCATCCGATCGGATTAACTGCTGGGTACTGATAGTTTTTTAGGCAGCCTCAATTTATTTTCTTTATTTGGAATACTTTGTGGAAGTAGCGTTTTTTTCTACCGTCTTTTTTTAAATAAGGCATATACCGACATGTTAAAGACCTTACAACTTGCCAAAAATGCTTCATTATTTTGTTCTAAACCGGCGTTGATTCCAGCCAATCGATTACAGGTGAGAGAGAGTAAGGAGCTCTGAGCTCAGGCCCTAGCTGCTGATGAAGCATAATGTCTTTGTATGGTAGGCTTACCCTAGGCTAGGTTAAACTAGGGTCTGCAACGGACCTGTTTAATCCAGAAATCAGTCTTCATGCATTGCATTGCTGTTTTTGTAGATAGAAGATTACCGCAGGGAGTTATTATAGTAACAACTCCCTGATTACCGTAAATACTCGAATATGGGCTGGGCACCAAACCTGATTTTTCGCTAAGGGCCGCTCTCGAATACAGTGTCAGACAGTAGGCGCCGTGGGGCTTTATCGAGAGTATACAGTAACTTGGGTGTCTGCTTGTCTTAAAATGGGGTGGCGCATAGTCAATAGAAAATTGACTATGGGTGGCGCGAAGGTGAAGTGGTGGAGCTCGATGATCAGTTGAGGAGCACTAACTCGCAAATAAGGAGGTGATGTTAGTTTAGGTGATTTATAATTACTTGACCGTTTTTTGTCGGCGATTTATTGAAATTTTTAACTATTTTTTTTTAGTGCTCTCTTTTTACGCATAGGCCCACTTTTTACCTCTGGAGACTGGGGGAACCCGGTCTGTTTGTTTGCTCCATTTACAAACTTAACGCTAGCCTAAGCTTCACTCATTTATTATTTATGCACTTGTCAATTGTAGTCCTGGCTACCCCGGACCCAGGCCTAGCTGGGACTTAGCCGGGAATGTAATTTCCAAATTACATGCATGTGAAAGTTCCGGCCACCTCCTGGCAATGCGGGGCATTCATTTTAACGTAGATTACCGGCTAAGTCCCTGCCAATTACCGCCATACACACCCGAAACCGCGGCTACTCTAACATGTAAAATTCCCAGGCCTTTACATCAGCCCCTCAATATTGTTGTTTTAATTATTTATTGTTGTTTTTGCCCTTATCAGTATTGTTGTTTTAATTATTTGTTGTTTTACTGGGAAAATTGTAACAATAAAAACGTATCTATTAATTTGTTTTGGTTTGTTTTGATTTTTGGGATATTGTATTGCCATGTTATATAGCCTAGAAAATGTACACTGTTCTAATTTTAGTAATAAGAGGCCTAGGCCTAATAATAGATGAAATAAACTTTTGCATGACAAGGAAATGAATTGTTTTTGATGTGCCCTAGTGCATTAAGATAGTAAGTCTGAAATTATGCCAGCTCCAGTAGTCAACCCCTTGGAAAGGTGTAAAATCCAGAGCAGGCTCCAGAAATCTGCTGACAAGGGGTCCGAATTGTCCGATGGAGGGGTCCGAACTGGTCAGGGTCCCAGAATGAAAATTTCAATTTATTTATTTTAAATTTTATTTTTTTATGGCCTAGTATGGTCCAAATTTGTGCTTTTTTTAGACATAATATTAGAGATTGACAATTAAAATAATGTTATTGAGATAGGCAAATTATTTTTTTAATAATTTTTGATCCGACGACCTCGTCGTGGTGTCAGACAGCGACATTTCCCCTCCCCCAGCGGAAATGTCACTATATTAGTCTCACTGTGAGTATAGTATTTTAGGGTGTGGCTACATGCCTTCGAAAAGTATGAACGCTTTTCTATAAATTGGATCACAAAATTGTGGGCTTGACTTAATGCACATTCTGATTGACATCCATTTTTTTGTTTTTATTTTTTTGTTTTTTTTCTGGTACTTTACAGTTACAGTAAAAAAATGTTTTTTGATAGTCATTTAATTCATTTGTGCATTGTTATGGCCGTAACAATGCACGATGGCCATGTAAAAAAAGATAGAAACTTGTTTAAACCAAGGAGGTAAATGTATAATATCAACATGTTTAAACAGATAAAAAGTTCAGACACACATTTTGGGAGATAAAATCCACTGTAGACAATGACCCAAAGTGAAAAAACCTTGAATAGAAATCCCATTCACAATACATATTAAAAAAATCAACAATGGTCAGAAAAGTGTTTTTTAAGCTAAGCTTAAGAGGGCTACAATACGTAATTATTTTGTAGAAGTTATATTTTCACCTTTTAACTTTAACAAAGTGCTCTACATCGACATAATATTAAAATGCAAGTCAACACATACTTTGACCAGAATTCATAAAAGAAGGGTTTGGCCTAATCACGACCCCTTCCTTTCCCCACCTCCTCCCCTCCTACTGGCCAATCTCAAAGAAGTGTTAATACTGTAACCTGTAATCTGCATATTTTCCCTGTTCAATTCCATTTACAGTACCTGTATGGGGTATTTTATTTTGCTATCTATTACATAATTATACTGGTGGTATGCAACTGGTACAGGTACACTAGTGTTTCAGTATATCTCTTTCTTGCTATCGAGTAATCACTCAGTCATACATTAACAAAACTCTGTGTCTACAGACTAAAGGTCAAAATTTAAATCAAGTAAGTCCTGTCCTGCTATGTGTCTGTTAACGCTTAGGGCAAGAAAATTATTGCCATCCAGCATGTGGCTAATAAAAAAGTGCGTTAAAAATTCTATATTACTATATTCAAAGTTTTGTTCAATGATACTATGTTGTTATTGGATTTCTTTGTGAAACACAGTGAGTAAGAGTTTACGGTAAACGTCTCAATCCGAAAGAAAAATCGTTATTTAAACTTGCCTTTCAGACTAATCTGGCTTAATCACATGAAGGCCAGCAGTGATGGAATTTAACCAGGGGCCAGAGTTTTCCATGGTTGAGTGCACACACATTGTGATTTAATGCTGTACTACCAGTCAAACCAACCTAGCTATTTTTATAATATATTTATTTGAATGTTATCTGTTGTTAATTATTGTTATTGACATTGTTACAGTGCTATTATTATCATAACATCAATTATTGCCAGGTCTTCTCCATAAAGTAATGTCCCATGACAATAAAAACATAACTGCTATTATATTTGTGTACAGTTATGTTGTTTTGCCTTGAAACGGCCAAATTGTTTTTCATAGTTTAACAGAGAATCTTTCTTTACAGTGGAAGCAATGATTGTAGGGAAGGGACTTTGTCCTTTCTTGGGATGGGTCCAGATAACAAACTTTTAAATTACAAATGCAAAATGAGAAATTATGTAGAATTATGTACTAAGAAAGCAAATTTATAATCAGATTTTTTTGAAAGTTTTTTGACTATTAAATTCATTTTGTTTTTGGCCAAACAAAGTGTTCGTAGATAAATTGCTTCATGCATTTATGTTGTGATATCATCAATAAATAAATAAATAAATTAAAAGTTAATTAAAGAATGAGAAACGGTGCTTTTTATACATTTAAATGTCATTGAATATTATGATGCCATCATCGATTAACACGCATCCAATTTAGTGATTTCATAAGATCATCTACAGATTATTTTAATATGTGCATCCAGAATTTTTTTGCCAAGTCTGTTTATTAAAACCTAGTAAGTAAATTATGATGACGTTCATAGATGTACTATCTGTGAACTTGTGCTAAAAATTTGTTAAAGTATATACAATAATTGAAATGCTTAGTTAATTAGTTAAGATGACTAAATGATTTGATTTCAATTGACAGAATACTGTAAAGCCCTGTATTTTCGCGCACCCGTAATTTTCGCGATAAGACAACGACCGCAAAAATTTAGCCCGTGCAAAAGTTGTGAAATTGTAAATGATAGTTTATATCTAGTTATTGCTATATTGGCCAGCTAGGCCAATATATTAGACTTCACTTCACACAGCCAGAGAGTGTTGGCATACTAGAATGGTGGTACTAACTAATACCCCATTCGAACTAACATTGCATTGCGATCGTTTGCAGCAACTGCGACACACACCCAATCGCAAAGTAAAATTGTGTGTGACAGCTCACCAATAGTAGTCGATAAGTAATCAATATCGCAAAAATTTGTTACTTGTTGCGATTGGGTGCTACAATCTTTATTCGATTACCACGGAATCTGATTGCAACGAATCACAACAAATTCCACAGGCACTGTTCGGCTGAGGTCAGTCAACATAGGCCTAGCCACTAGAATGTAAAGTTTTTTGTGTTTGTCTGAATGCACTCATTGATTGCAGTCAGAAGTATTCAGTTTTGTATAACCACCAATTACATCGCAACCCATCACTAACTGAATAGGGTATGAGCCTAGGCCTACATTCAATGGAATAAAAACCACAGCATTGTACTTCTTTTAATAATAAGGTAATAATAAGGATATTTCCTGTGGATCACTAAAGTATTAAAAGTATTACATCTCTTGGTTAGCAGTTTGGTCAACTTTGTTAGGCCTACATTTGATGCAAGATTTTTAACATTTTTATTGGACAAAATCCTGATCAAGCCTTCCCCGGAGTAGCTGTAGTAGGCCTGCCTATGACGATACAGTAGCTAGCCAAGAAATCGGAAGGGGAGGAGATTGCTTGAAAAATTGGATGAACCCCCCCCCCCCCCCCCCCCCCCACACAAACCAAACAAGGAGCTCTAGCTAAAATATACTGTAAAGTAAAAAGCATAATTGTAGGTTTCTGCATCATGTAAAAGATGACTGGAAATTGAAAAATTACGAAATATTTAAAATTGTAAAATCGTGACATTAGCAACAACATTCAAGGGGCAGGGCGGGGCTTAGCAGAAGGTCCATTGCGTAGTACATGGTTGAAATTTTGTCATCAAAATATTTGTTTAATAAATAATTAAAATGTTCTCTAAAATTTGGTTACATCACACTTATAATAGACATCTGTGGTTAAATAATTATTACATTTTTTTTTTTTATTTGGATATTTTCATCAGTTGTAATATTTCACACAAATGTTATATGGGCAGAGAAATCTAGCTCATGATTTTCCTTCTTATAGTCAAAACAGGTTTTTTTTATTATGAAATCAAAGCAAACAGTAACCTATTTATTTTTTCTTTCCAGCTTTGTGTTTGCTCTGTATCCACAGAGGCTAATTTTGGACTGCAGAAAACCAGGGTAGATGATAATATTCTCCTGCAGAAGTCCGCCACGTCAAGACCCGGTGCACCGCTAGTTCTCATGTACAGTTGGCTGGCAGCTAAGCAGCGCCATCTCGACCGTTTCTCCAAGTTGTATCTCAACAAAGGATGCGACGTGGTGTATGTTCAGATAAAACCCTTACAGCTTTTGCGTCCAACAGTAGGTTCGCAAAAGATTGCTGAGAAACTGGTCGGACTTGTGCAAGACTCGGGACACAACGACCGGCCACTTTTTGTGCACACGTTTTCTGTGGGAGCTTATCTGCACAGCGAAACTCTCACGAAAATGTCACAACATGATGCGATGCACCAGACCGCGATAGTAGACCGGATAGCTGGCCAGGTGTTTGACAGTGCAGTAGATTTAGATAATGTACCGTACGGTACATCGAGGGCGCTCTTGAAAAACCATCTAGCACAGAATTCTCTCGAGTGGATATTGAATGCTTTCCTGAAAGTCACTTATAAACACACGATGGCACACTATGAGAAAGCTCACAAAACATTCTTCTGCAACCCGGCGTCTACTCCATTACTTTTTTTATATTCCCAGGTAGATCCGGTCGCTCCAGCTAGTACTATTGAACGATGCATGAACATTCTTAAGAATGACCATGGCAAAGAAGTTCATAGTAAATCATTCGAGAGCTCGGCTCATGTTAGCCACATGTATCAATACCAAAATGAGTATGTAGCAGCTCTGGAAAGCTTTCTGCACAATCTGAGCTGCTTCAATGATGAAAAACCAAAGTGATATGTTATTGTAGATTGTGTCAATTTCATATCATGTTTTAGTGAGTTTGTATGATGATGGAGCTTGCTATATATGATTTCTGTTTCTTGAAGACAGTTGAAAAAAATCACACTGTTGCCATAACATCAGATTATGAGAAGGGTGTGTGCATGTAGTAAACTGTGAGGGCAGCAAACAACATAGTGCATGTATGTACAGTAGTGTCCTATTACGTTACATTATTAATGTTATTTTTCTACTTTATGTACTTCATTATATTTTTTGAGCCACTTTTGTTGCAAGAATTTCTGTGAAATCCAAACATCTAAATGTTGAGTATTCAAGTGTGCCTGGCCAGTGCCTATAATATACAAATGTGTGTATGAGGGTTGTAGTGTGTAATATACAAGTATATAAATAATAATGAAGACATTTATATATTTATTAAATAATTATTTTGCTATTTCTGGAGCTCTCTCCCTCTCACCTGTTAATGTATATGAAATGTTATTTTATATTTGCTGTACTGTACTTGAGTTTTATTGGTGATGCATGATGAAAATTTCAGATTTTTAAATATTCTATTTTGTTTTCTATTAATACTTATATTTATGGATATTTTAAATTGTTAATAGTTATAAATATGTTTGGGATTAAAATTAGCTGTCCAATTTGCTGCAATTGTGTATTCTATGTTTTTTTTTAAAGATATAAAGATAAACGAATTTGGATCTGGAAGTGTCTCTATTTTTATATAATTTATTTGCCATACTTGTTTTCAAAATCTTCTTATGAAATTTAATATCTCCTTTTTTGATATGTATGGAGATCACTCACACTTTAAATTCTGATTTAGGATACAAAGTGAATTATTGCAGTTGAGGATTACCAGTGTATGTACAGTACATTAATCAATGCCAGTCCAAGTATTCTTTAGTATTAATAGTTGATTATTATGCACTACAAAAAAACAACATTCTATTTCTATTATAAGTAGCAGTCAGTTTGTTTCTTCAGTAATATTAACAATGTGGTCAACGTAAACATTTTTCCCACCAAATAATGTTGATTGAACATGCTATCATCAGTTTTTGAGTACACTACGCTTGTGTAGATATACTCTATGGTGTGGTAGTAGAATTACTACCACTGTAAAATGGAATGTGTGAAGGTTCATTTCAGTTCTTAGGTATGTGCTTTTGTAATATTCATTGCATATTATGCAATACCTTTAGAAAAAGATGTGTCCTAATGGGAAAATCCAAGGGTGTATACCGTTTTGCCTCGTGTTTGTAGAGCAAATGAAATGTAATCAGAAGGTCTTGGGTTCAAATCCTTATAGGGTTGGACTTGAGTGCTTTAGGGCTGGGCTAATAAAAAATACATTAAAACTAGACCAATATTCAATAGCTGATATATAAAGGCTAGTAATTATTTTGGCAAAACTTGGTCCAGCAAAAAAAAAAAAAAAAAAAAAAAAAAAAAAAAAAAAAAAAAAAAATTTAAGAAACAAAATATATAACACAAAAAAAAAAAATTAAAAAATGTTCTCTCTCTTATAAAGTATAATGAAAAAAACCTGATGGGAAAAAAAGAACAATGCATCGAAAAAAAATGGGGAGGGGGGAATAGACTGGGGAATAACTCTCTAGGTAGAAAAAAAATCCGTGGGGAAAATTAGCAGGTGGCTCAGGTGACAAGTAACCACCGTAATCTTCTTGGATCTTCCTTTCGAGTGAATTATACTGTAGTCTTGCAGCCCAGGTACCAGTTCAAATCGCGACGACGGGAAACCACTAACCCGTAAAAATCACATACACTATTATCTTTGGAAATGCCCAGTCCCTGTGTAATAAACTTGATCAATTGGAAGCATGTATGGCAGTACAAGATTTTAGAGAGTCTAGTCTACTGTGCTTCACGGAAACGTGGTTTAAAGATAAGCATACCAATGCAAATGTTAGTATTGATGGGTTCTCATGCCAACGTGGAGATAGAGATTTGGAGGCTGTAGGGAAGTATGGAGGCGGAGGTGTCTGCGCATACATAAATCAACGTTGGTGTAAAAATATCAAGGTTGTTGAAAAACATTGTTGTTTGTTTCTGTGAAATCCAAGCATCTAAATGTTGATTATTCAAGTGTGCCTGGCCAGTGCCTTTAATATACAAATGTGTGTATAAGGGTTGTAGTGTGTAATATACAAGTATATAAATAATAATGAAGACTTATAATAAAATAGCCCTAATCCCCATGTGAAAAACATTAAGAATTCAAGTTTTTTTTATTGAAAAAGCAGACACAAAATCCCAATTTTGCTACTTTTACAATCATGTATTTTATAATACTTTCATGCTCCTTTGTCTGACCTGACAAGACATTGCACATAAAATGGAGTTGTGAGATATTTTGTTGCCAAAATTGCTGATCTTGTTAAAAACATTTATATATTTATTAAATAATTATTTTGCTATTTCTGGAGCTCTCTCCCTCTCACCTGTTAATGTATATGAAATGTTATTTTATATTTGCTGTACTGTACTTGAGTTTTATTGGTGATGCATGATGAAAATTTCAGATTTTTAAATATTTTATTTTGTTTTCTATTAATACTTATATTTATGGATATTTTAAATTGTTAATAGTTATAAATATGTTTGGGATTAAAAATAGCTGTCCAATTTGCTGCAATTGTGTATTCTATGTTTTTTTTTTTTTAAGATATAAAGATAAACGAATTTGGATCTGGAAGTGTCTCTATTTTTATATAATTTATTTGCCATACTTGTTTTTAAAATCTTCTTATGAAATGTAATATCTTCTTTTTTGATATGTATGGAGATCACTCACACTTTGAATTCTGATTTAGGATACAAAGTAAATTATTGCAGTTGAGGATTACCAGTGTATGTACAGTACAGTATTCTTTAGTATTAATAGTTGATTAATATGCACTACAAAAAAACAACATTCTATTTCTATTATAAGTAGCAGTCAGTTTGTTTTCTCAGTTATTAACAATGTGCTCAATGTAAACATTTTTCCCACCAAATAATGTTGATTGAACATGCTATCATCAGTTTTTGAGTACACTACGCTTGTGTAGATATACTCTATGGTGTGGTAGTAGAATTGTACTGTAAAATGGAATGTGTGAAGGTTCATTTCAGTTCTTAGGTATGTGCTTTTGTAATATTCATTGCATATTATGCAATACCTTTAGAAAAAGATGTGTCCTAATGGGAAAATCCAAGGGTGTATACCGTTTTGCCTCGTGTTTGTAGAGCAAATGAAATGTAATCAGAAGGTCTTGGGTTCAAATCCTTATAGGGACAATACATTTTTTTCAAAAGTTTCGGGGCTGTAAAAAGTTGGTGGTTGTGGATCCCGGACTTGAGTGCTTTGGGGCTGGGCTAGCAAAAAATACATTAAAACTAGACCAATATTCAATAGCTGATATATAAAGGCTAGTAATTATTTTGGCAAAACTTGGTCCAGCAAAAAAAAAAAAAAAAAAAAAAAAAAAAAAAATTTTACGGCTCAGAGTTTATTACCCACCAAATGATGATTTAGATAACATTTGAATATATTTGTGGTAATTTAAGTGGCTAAAACTGAAAGACATACAGATATTTTTCCACAAGAAAGGCTTCCAAAAGAAACTACCTATGTACTTTCATTTCACAATTAATTGAATCACTTATCATGTACTCTCTATATTTATTAAGGGAATAGCGAACATCTGAAGTTAATAAAATGAATTGAAAAATAAAAATACAAGCTATTCCTTAGCTGTTATTATTTTGTAATTGTTGCATTACAGATTAATATATTTGTTATGCATTCTATATCATGTTGATGTTGCATTCTATCCAATGCTGACTATGGGATAAGGCAAGACTTTTTTTTTTTTCTTTTTTTTTTTGCTAATTGGCAAAGATTATAATTTTATTTTTATTCAGAATCTGTGTTATTGCCAGGCGGCGGGTTCGCCTTAGGGAGGTAGCTGTAAAAGAGGTCTGTTAAATTCCAGCAGAAGTCACAGAATTGTGATTCAATTAATGGTAACTAAATATAATTTTTACTATACAGGAGTCTTTAAAAGTGCGATATCTGCTTACACAGACCAAAAAAATAGATAAATAAATGCATTGTTTATACAAACAGATTTACTACTAATGTTAACAGTATTTAGAAAGAAAAATCTTGGATATAATGTTAGAGTGCGCCCTCTAGAGAGAAGAAGGTTTAAGGATACGACACATCTCTTTAAAATCTACAAATAAATACGATCAGCTATGTGTTCTATACTAACGAACATGAGAATGGTATTAACAATTATAGGACTTTCAGTTACAGCAGAATATATTTTACCATTCTGAATCATAAATTTTCTACATAGATGCTGATCCGTTGGAAAGCGCCCCCACTCTCCTGTCGCTATAGTGCTTTCAGTGCATTTTTTTTGCACTGTGTAGCAGTCCCCGACGCGATAAGTGTCCCCGATTCGACCAACCAATCAGCATCACCGAAAGCTGTCGACGAAACATCGTGGGGACTATCTTTATTACTGTGGAGCGACCCATTTTCTCATTCCACTGTGGTGGAGTATTTACTACGATACGATGCAACAACATATTTTAATTTACATACAAGAATAATTAGTAGAGATATTTTTATTGTCTCTCTGAAAATCCTCTAAAAACCTCAATAATTTAATTAAAGAATCAGCTCATTAAAAGAATTAAAACTATTATTAACAAAGATCATACAATATTATTAGTTTACATTGACTTACTATTTTCTAAATAAAATCTTTATTGATTACGGTACCAGCCAATTAAAGGGTCTATGCAAAAATATATACTGTAGCAACTATATTATTTATAATGTATGCTAATATTTTATCCATCTAATTAAAAACTAACCAATTCAAAAGTTAATATTAACATGTAACGGAGTATAATACTAATTTATTAGAGTTTCGTTCAAAAGATAAAAAAAAGGAAACTTAAAATCATCAATCAATCAATTAATCCACCATCAATCAATCAATCAAGAAATTAATTTCTTTTCGCAAGTATTTGAGAACGTAGTGACTAGTATTCAGTACGATAACACGTTAGGTAGGGCAAAACATTACTGCTATATTTTCCTGACGCCACACACCGAAATAAGAAATTCATGTTTTCAGTTCCGTGGTGCCTACGGATCGCAAAAATACTATCCATGTTGAGTTTGCAAATTCCACTTAAAACTTAATTCAGGGCCTAAGCAGAAAACTGAAATTTCTGTACCGGACCTTGCAGAGAGGTCTAGGCTCGGTGCAATTTTTCTACCTTCTCGGCCTCAGTGGTTTCTGTAACTACAGTAAAACTATGATTATTATTAAAATTAAAATATAATTATATAGACCCAGCCTATCATAGAGAATTTCATTTATTAAAGCTCAAACTTAATACACGACTTCATATCAGACCCCTTCATTTTCTTTTCGTAGATTTTGTCGAAGATTTCATTTTGTGAAACTGTAAGTAAGTTCTTCCAGTCACCGACTTTTCCTGAAATAAACAATAAGTATTTAATTGAGTAGGCCTAACTGTCTATGTGATTCAGATTCAAATTTCTTTATCAAATTACTTTATCTAAAAGGAAATTACAGTAGGTGCAACAAAATAAATCGCAGAAAAAACATACAAGCATCTTTGAAAGAAAAAAAAATTCACATAGAGTATACTAAAATATTCTTGTTAAAGGTTCTTTAGGACAAGTTTAAAGAGTTTTCTGGCTGCTATAAAAACTTCTTATGGAGTATGGTACAAAGGAATTATGATAACGCTTAGTTTGGCAGATGATGGAACTCAATCTCCTATCAGATGGTAACCATTGATTGAGATTGTTTAAAGGATGTGTAATATCGTTGATGTTACATTTCATTTTATCCACTATTCTTTCTAGGCAAATTTCTTTACTCTTTTCCTGCTTGATTTGCTAGTATGGGCCTATTCTTTTTAGCTTCCTACAGTCATTTTTTTCTAATCTAAGCAACCAAGCGCAACAGCCATGAATTATTACGCTTTCATTCACATCCTTTCTTAACTACCGTATATCAAGTTGGTACATTATTTAATTGTACATTTCCCAGTTTAGTATATCATCAATCGTGCCACCTAAATACTTAAAATACAAAATGTTTTCTTACAAACCAAACCACAACGTTTGCGAACGTTATAATAGTTTGTGTTTGCTGTTACAAAACTCCCCGTTGCAAAGCAACGGCTTGAGGAAATTACAGTGTATTCCAAACGTGTTTTCTTACCACTCTGTGTAGGCTTAAAAGCATAGTATAGCCCTGCATTACCTTTTCGCATTAACTTGAACGGAATATTCTCTGTAAATCGTTCAGAGTCTGATCCACTGGGAATTCTACCATTAAATTTCTTGCTCATCCTCGAATAACTTGCAATTTCCACCAGTTTCTCCAAAACTTTATCAAAAACAGGATGTTCCAAGAATTCTGTAACTTCTTCAATTACAGCTCTGATGTCCTATAAAATATGAGAAGGCGTTTTAATATAATTCAGACAGTGGATAGTTTAAATAGCGATTATAACAACGTCGTGAATTACCATTTTCATGTCTTCGTATGTTGTTATGAAGAAGTTCTTGTCGTTTCGATGTTTCCAATATGCCAAATTAAAGTCAAACCAAGAACCACCTGGCACTGTGCAACAAAAAATTTCCAAAAAATTATTATTTTATCAACATAAATTCATGAAAAATAGAGAAATAGAGAACATTACATTATTGACATTAAAATGTTTGGCTGCTTAAATGCAGGGCCTTCTGTTGCCATGGTCTTGATTTTAAATCCTGTAAACATAAAGATTAGGTTTTGTCTTACGAAGATCTAAGTCTCAAATTGATAAGTGTTAAAGGAAATTGAAAACAGTATATATTCTGTTGGAAGAGAAATATATAAAATGAGTCACGTACACGAAGACGTCACTAACTTACTATCATCGGATAGAAATGACTGGAGAAAGCAATCCCAAGTGTTCCACTCTTCACTAAAGCGATACTGTTGAACGAAATGGAAACGAGATACTGCGGAATCTTTTGGGTTTCTCATAACAAACACAACCTTGAAAAAGAACAGTTCAATAATTTGATATAGTATTATAGTCACTTCCAAATGAGATCAATAAAGAAAATATATTGTGAATGACCTCCAAACAAAAGAACGTTTTACTGAAAAATTTACTACTAGCAACAAGTATAACAAGTGCATTATTAAACACGACTTATTTTGCTCTCATTCATGATGGCTGGACCTCAGATAAACCGCAATAAGGAGGTGGCATAATGTGGAAAATTTGGGGAAACCTAGAATGCATTTGTATACCCTGTTTTGTCTGTGTCACTAGTAATGTTTGTTTTTATAGTAAACGTACATTTCAATCGATTAAGTTTTAGACCAATACTATTTTTACTATTTACCAACCTGTTTACAATTAGTACGGTATATAGGCAGTGGCGTAACGCCTATGCGCTTTCCGCAGGGCCCCCGAATTCTAGGGGCCCCGAAGGGGCCCTACCCATAGGTTCCTCGATCTAGCACCCAGGCCAAAAAGGACTTTGTTGATAAATAACGCCATAATGTGTCTGAAATCGACTGTAGGGCATATATCATATTATAACGATTAAAGAGAGGGGGAGCCGACGGGCCCGCCACCCCCCCCCCCTTCTTGGCCCGGGACTCTACCAAATTTGTCAAAAAAAAAATTTGAAGTTGAGATAAAAAGAAAATTATATACACAATTTTAAGTCTGTGAGTGCCATTTCCGGCCATTTGGACGTGCCATAATAATACATTTTCTTTCTCAGCCCAACAAGGGCAACAGCATAATGTGTGTCTGAAATCGACTGTAGGACATATATTATATCCAGTGGCGGAATAAAGAGTGGGGGTGGGGGGAGTTTCCGGCCTGAAGCTACCGGCACGGGGCCCCACTTAATTTTTCATAATATATTTTAACTGGGGATAAAAAAATATATATATATATATTCACAATTTTATGTCTGTGATGTGCCATTTCCGGCCATCTAAGGGTGCCATATTCATAAATGTTCTTACCTCAGCCTTAACCATGGTGGGTCTGAGGTGGTATGGACTCAACTGTGAAAGTCCCTCCCGGCCTCAATTTTCTGGATCCATATTATATCATTTATTCGTCGTTAAAAACATTTAGAATAACAATGCACATCTAAAATCCCACGATGGAATTGGTGACCGGGGCCCAAAAAAGGGCCCCAGTTTCAGAAATACACGGGGCCTCCGACCCCATCGTTACGCCACTGTATATAGGATAGTAAATACCCTCATTAAAAAGTAATTTCAAATCTCTGACGTGAAACTATTTTTATTTGGCCTTATGTGACATTTGTGTGATGTGCCCATATCATTGGTATGATGATGTCATCTTAAATCCTAATATGGGCAAATCACATTCATTGGTCACATAAAACTGATAGTGTGGAAAGAGCTTAAACATAATATTACCGGTAGGCCTATAACATTATAGAAAACTTTGTAAAATTTAGTATATTAATACTTTTAATTGTTGTTATGTTTTCAGTAAGGTATCAGGCCCGTAGGCAGGATTTTCGATGGGGAGGTACGTTTTGCGAGTGTAACGGACCTTAGGTTCACAATGTTTGTCAATGATGTTCCTGATATTTACATCTTCGCATTACCTTTTGTTTGCCGATGACATCAAATTATCTCCCATCGTCAAAAAACTTAGACGATTGTCATCTTTTACAACAGGATCTGGTAAGGCTGTATAATGGGTTTTCTACTTGGAAAATGTCTCTTAATCCACATAAGTGCCAGGTTCTTACTTTATCTCTTAAGAAACTATTAATTAATTATGATTACAACATTCATGGTTCGTTAATTGAGAAGGCTAATTTTCAAAAAGATCTTGGAATTTACATTGATTCTAAACTTAATTTAAACAAACATGTTGACTTATCTCCAAGATATCTCCAAGAGCAATAGGATGCTGGGCATGTTTTTGGTGGCAACGTAAAGAGCGCGATAGCAACACCAAACTTCATCTTTATATTTCTCTTGTTAGACTCATTTTTGATTTTTCATCTACGATTTATAATTCTATATGTATTTCTCAATCAAATCGCATAGAACGAGTTCAATCAAAAGTTATGTATTTTATTAATTATAACAACGTTAATGCCTCTATTCATCTCTATACCACTTCACACTAGAAGGGGCACGTTTGATATGGTCTTCCTTTATCAATGTTTTAACTCGCTTTTTACTTCATCATTTATATTAAAAATACAGTACATAGACCAAGTTCACGTAACACTGACTTAGTCCCTGTGCCCCTTAGCCGGGTCAATGCTGCTAAAAACGGTTTTATTCACAGATTCTCCTATAACATAATAATTTTATATCTTGTATGTTTAAGACACCCTCTAATGGGCGATTCCGCTGTTGGATGTAATTGAAATAAAATAAAATAAAACAAAATAAATTAAATTAAATTAAAATAGGCTGGAGGGCTATAGGAGCTAGCGATGGTGGGCGAGTCCCCCGGAAACTCCGACAAATAAACATTTTGGGCACCTTATAAATGAATTTCTATTCATTTTGGTGGACCTAAAGTTGTAACTTTTTATGTCTATTACATCTGTAGGCCTACAGATAACGTTTCATTGTTCATAATGGATCCATCTCCAATCACTGAAGCTGATAATTTCCAACAAATTTCGTACCACAGTTATTAAAAATCAACAGCTTGAAGAGCTGAAAAATAATATGCAAAAAGTTTCTTTTTACTGAAAAAAGAGGTTATTAAAAAAAACCAGATTTTTGCAATTTAAAGGTCAAGTGGGGGTTTGGGAAATAGACTTGAAATTTGGAGGTCAATGGAGGTTTGGTGAAGAAGCCCTTGGACGCTCTGGCAAAGCTGCATTTTGAAAGCCTATTAGGATTTCTGAACCCATAATTTGTGAATAATCTATTTTAATTTTCATTCATTTGGGTGTTTTACGTCCTTGACATATCTGTAGGCCTACAGATAAAATTTTTCATAATGGATCAATGCATCAATCTGCAGTAGCGGATAATTTCCAACAAATTTCGTACCACAGTTATTAAAACTAGCAAAAGTGCACTTTACGATAATTAGGAAAGATTTTAGTGAAATAATAAGTTTTAAAAATGGACTTTAAGGGTCCATGGGCAGGGACCTGGAGAGGGAGTTTGGGGGAAAATCCGCCGAAAGCTTTGACAAAGTAGCATCTTGACGGCCTTATATTATAATATTTAATTGATTTCTCAAACAAATTCCTTAATATTCTATTTAAATTTTCATTAATTTTTGGTTTTAGGGACATGAAGAAGTACCGTTACACCGTTTTTTTTTTGTCCTTTACATCTGCAGGCTTATAGATAACACTGTTCATATAAATCAATTTTAAATCACCGGAGCTGATCATTCCAACAAATTCCATACCACAGTTATTTAAAAAATGAACGGTGAGAAGAGCTCTGCAAATATAAAATGAAATGCATATTATAGCATTTAGTAATAATTAGGAGCAATTTTATGAAATATCAGGTTGAAAAATAACTGTCTCTTATACACATCTAGATGTGTATAAGAGACAGCACCAAACTTCATCTTTATATTTCTCTTGTTAGACTCATTTTTTTATTTTTCATCTACGATTTATAATTCTATATGTATTTCTCAATCAAATCGCATAGAACGAGTTCAATCAAAAGTTATGTATTTTATTAATTATAACAACGTTAATGCCTCTATTCATCTCTATACCACATTTATTTGCAGGACTACATTCGTTGAGAGCTATGCTACGCGATGTATTATTGTCCTTTATTAAACACTGTATTTACCTTTCTTTGATGATTTATTATATATAATTTAACAGTGTTAACGGCTATCTCGATTTATATTATATATATATATATATATATATGCGTCATAACCACTAAACCACGACCATTTTATCATTTTATCATATTTTATATATTTTATATGACTAGAGCTATGTATTTTATATTTTGCACTGCTTTGTCAGAAGGTGAGACATTTCTATCTGGCTGTTTACTTAAGTGACTACAGCGTTTCTGGTTCATTTTTATATGCCTTTAAGCGAATGACATCACCGATGAACTGCCTGCTAGAATGTGATATCAATAAGACTAACATAAATTGAAATTGCAACCGATTAACGGACATACTGACCGATCCACCTACTGATAAATGACCGCCTGCTAAATAAACTGCCTGCTAAATTTGAAACCAATAAGAATAAAAGAAATTGGAAAAACATAGGCCTATGTTAAATTTAACGGGGAACTACCGACTGCGACATGAACAATGCGAGACCATTATTAAGCCTTAGTGGTTACCGAGATGAGCACCCGATATGATACTGGCATAAGTGGCCATTTTTTTAAAAGTGCCCTCACATAGGTTTACTTCCCATTAGGAAATATGATATACAGACAAACTGATTTTAGTTCCTCGCATGTTTTTCAGCCAATGATATTGTAACATTGCAATATTCTACATTGGCTGGCGATAGTAGTTACATTAGCTGTGAGGCAATTTTCGTTACTACATTAGCTGTTGAGCGTTCTACATTAGCTGGGGTTGATTTTCTTTTTACTACATAAGCTGTTGGGGTTTCTATGGGGTTTCTACATTAGCGGGGGGGGGGGTTTACTACCTGTGGAGTGTACGCTACATTAACGGTTGTTACTACATTAGCTGTTGTTTTTTACATTATCGGTTGTAACATGGTATTACACATAGTGTTTCCCTACTCAATCAATCCTGAAGAAGGATTAGAATCAAACATTTTGTTATACAAGTATGTCCACATAGTGTTTCCATAGGCGTAGATCCCGGGGAGGGGGAATGGGGGATATA